ATCGCCGTGGTGACGTTCGGCCCTATCGGCAAAAGTACACAGATCGGGGGTCAAGGTATCGAGCACCGGATCGTAGTCGCTCACCGGATCCGCGTCAGTTCCAACCCAGACGAACTTATGTGGCTTATCGCCCTCCCAGCACCGGTCGGGATAGCAGTTACGAGGATTATGGCCACGAATCGCGTCCGCCTCGATTTCGACACAGTCGCAGTCATAGTCGCAGTCGTGGTTTGTCTAGACACGGTTGTGAAACTGCCGGACGTGAGTACGATATGTCACAACCTTCCACTCGTCCCCCTCGTGACGCATCACCACGCAGAAATGGTACCAGACGCCATTATCGAGACGAACCGGAACGTCCTCGGGACAGTCCGCCTCGAAGGCCATTGAAGCGCGATCGACCAACTGACGAACGTCATCCTCGACCGGAATTGTCCATGTCCGACAATCGACATGGTCGACCCTATCGACCGCGTGAACGTGCTCATGGGGATCATTTCCCCAGTCCAGAACATGCCGTTCAGCCGATACACGAATCACGACGTGAAAGGTCTCCTGAACGACGACCAAGACATCGCGAACCCATACGCCCTATGGATAGTGAGCGTCGGATGGCGAGAGCCGACAAACCGCGCATATCTCCGTCGCGTTGCGCACCTCGACAGTCGACTCGATCTGACCATCGATCACGTGAGGAGAGAGATACGAGTCGAAAACAAGTAAGTTATTCTATTTTGCTTTTCTTCCCCTCATTCAGGACTATCTATCCAGATATATGGTACATTTCATAATCTCTATATTTATGTATCCTGAAGATATGCCACGCGATTCTTCTTTGCAAATGCAAATTCACGTTTGCGTGTTTGAATAGTAGGAACTCACAGGGCTTAACAGTTGCTGACATAAATAGATTTTCTGACATTTTCCCCACTTGATGATATCAAAAACAAGTGACTCTGTATATTTGTTGGTGATTTCAACAGACATGATGTAACATTCCTCACCACACTGGGTCTGCAAAATTTAGTACTTTTTCCTACCAGACTAACTTCGCAGCTTGATTTCGTTTTCACAAACAGATCACAATTTTTTAAAGTCCAGAAAAGCGCTCCCCTGAACAGTTCAGACCATTGTATCTTAAAAATATGTCTCACTGTATACAGCAAAACCAACCGACACACATTGTTAAGAAGGCCTTACAAGAGTCAAAGAAATTGTTCATCAGAGAACCTAGAAAGGCTAAGATCCATGATTGCCGCCACTGATTTTTCGGTGTTTCCTGATCAGAACCCTTCTGTCCTCTGTGAACACGTTACGGACTACCTTAATTTCTGTTTTAACCAGTGTTGTCCACTAGAAACGGTTTTTATCCATAAGAACAAATATTCATCACCGCTACTCAAGCAGCTAAAAATATCATTGACGGATACCTACAACCATGCAAAAGTTTCACCGCCAAGATACTCTCAGACAATCACCAACCATTACACAACCAGTTTTCAAGAGCTGTATCTACATCATCCACACGCTCAAGCTTTAAACTTTTATTTGCACGTACCTCTGCTTATCGTAATTCCGTTCTGCCATATCTAGCACGTCTACTAATAGACAAGGACAAAATTTCCACAGAATTGCGCAACCGCTTGCTTCATTGACAAACACACCCCATTGCTTTCAGTTTCATTATGTAATGATTTTGTAATTTTGAATCCACAAATATGGTGTAATTGCTGAAAATACACTCATCCGGGTACATAAAGCTACTACTGACTTGAATTTACTTGATCTCCCCGGGTATTTCATCAGCTGAGATAGTGTGCATAACGGTTGAGATTTGACACTAAATCCTCAGATTCTCAGTTTCGATTGATCGTTTTGGTTATCGTACTGATCCAAATACCCCACCACCGAGGTGTGCAAAGCAATTACTTGATTTTATTTGAGCGTGGTGAACTTTGTCCTTCCGGGGGGGGGGGGGGGGGGGGGGCGGGGGGGATATCAGTTGGAACGTGGTATGATGTAATCCTCGAGTTTCGCCTTACTCATCACCGGCCAATGACCGCAGTGTTTCTTGGACTAATAGGAACCTTTAACTCAGCTGACCGCGAAACTTGGATGGGTTCGCCCCTTCAAAAACGGGCGCTACTAAAGTATGTGGACACATTGAGATCATTGTAATCGCATACTTCCGGTAGCGTAAGTGTCTACGGCGAGCTAAGAAGATCGTTCGAAACCGGGAGCAGTGTTCATCAAGGGTGTTTTATTTCACCATTCCTGTTCAATTTTTTATCGTAGAAATGCTAGATAACGCACTAAGTGGTCTCCAAAAGTGTACTTATTGAAAGGGCGTCTGGATAAAGACTGCGCGATTTAGAGTACGCTGACATCATTTACCTGTTTGAATGTATGGAGGATGCGCAGAGCGCTCCGAGACAGTGTCGACTAGTCCTGTTTTTTAAACTAGATGGTCATGAATTGGCTGAAATTGACTCCTCCTACTTAGGAAGTTGCGTGACAGATGACGGTAGCACAAAGTCAAGTCAGTAGTAGCTTTATGAGGAGATATTCTCCCGCATTTCCAAAGCTCGGGCAGCGTATGCAGGCTTGAAGCACTTGTGGCAACCACATGACGTTTCGCGAAAGTTGAATAGTCACGTGTACTGCGCCACCATTCGGTCTGTTCTGCTGTGCGGCTTTGAGATCTTAAATTTGGGCGAAGGAGAAATCCATCACCTGGAGGTTTTCGGCAATACTCTCTTATGTGGCGTTGCCCAGGTAGGGTGGAGTGAGTGGGTTAACAGCCCAGGTTTGTCAGACTATTTGGAAATGTATTCGGGAAAATTCGCCTTCACATCGAATTCAGCTCAAGTGGCCTCGATTGTTAAGACACATTTCGTGTGTATATAGCAATTGTCTACCGCACCGCACCTTGTTTGCAGTTTCTGCTACGGGTTGGGGTAAACCACGTGGAAGTAAATAGATGACGTGGGGACGAGGCATGAAGAAATACACAGAGCGATTAGGCGGAGTAGGTGTCTCTCGTCTTCCAGCCTATGGCCCAAAAGACTTTGTAACTGGTTGGTTGGAGTCTCTGGAGGATATGGAAACTAACCGACAACAGTGGAGTCCTTTTTGTCATTTATTATCAGATCACAATGCTTGAACAGATTTGTATTCATAGTTAGACTTTGTACTCTGTGTGTTGATCATGAAGGGTCACTTTCTTTCTTCCTCCCTGAAAATAGGCTCAACACCTTACATATTCTTACTGACCTTGTATGCATTGTGAGTTTGAAAGCGATCAGTAGCGTTCGCTTCACTGTACAAGGGTGATGATAACGTTATAGCACAAAAGGAAAATAGACGTTATGGTTGGTCTAAATCCCATAACATGGTCTGATCATATTACCACTAACATTATTTTATTCCCTGCCTTTTCTCAACAACCTTTTGCCTATGTTCCCCGCCATGTTCACTCCACGGTGGCGTTTGTTTGCTTGCACATGGCTTGTTTTCATGACAAGGATAATTAGATTTAATGTTTCAGTTAGATACTGTTTCGAGCTACCTATGTCAGACGAATTGACTCCCCGAACTTCCGTATTTGGGCCGGCGTAGTCAAACTGGTTGTGTACAGCAATGTCAGCAGAAGTGATTCGGTATTGACGGTGTTTGAACTCGTTGTCTTCTCGACTCACGTCACAGAGTTCCTGCTCGGACAGGTCGAAACCGCCCGACTGTGTCCCACGCTAGTTTATTCTAATCGCTGCCAATTACCTGTATTGTGTAACAATTCGGCATCGTTTTTCCACCGGTTTTAACCACGTATTGGTCTGATTCAAGTATTTCCCCTCCCCTTTCTCGCATCAATTCACACTTGTGCTGTCCTTCAAATCTGACCTCGTTTAGCATGACTCCGAGGAGAACAACAAACCGGAACGTCACCCACGACGTCCGAGTATGAACGAGGATCGTTTGAGTACCGAGCACAACACGCCGACGGAATCTTCATCCGGTACAACTAACGCTGTCAGTACGGCGGGCTCGCGAGCTCACAAACGATCAACCGCATCGAGATCACCACGCTCGAGCAAGCGTGATTCCGGTTCGGGTAAATCGCACGCACCGACTGCTCCCACCTCATCCGTGTCGAGCAAATTACGGCCCGTACAGGAACATTTGGATCAGTTACAATTCGAGGCGGTCTCAGACACGGAACTGGAAACTATGCTTACCCCGGCTGTATTTTTGACCACCACCTCACCTGCGAAGGACACAGCGGGAACGGAATTGACAGATCTAGCCTCTGGGGAACAAGGACTCGTAGAGTCTGGTCAGAACAAGGAGAATAAAGAAACACTGCCAACAAGTTCGGATGCCGCGGCGGATTCCGCTGTTACAACAGACGCATCCAAAACGAACGAGACAAAAGGTGAAGAAAGTACCGCTCTGGTTCTCGATGCGTTGGACAAAATCTCATCCCAACTGAAACAGAAATTATCCGGGCCGGAAACTTGGGACATTGGTGCCGGATCGGAATCAGAGATCGAGGATGACGTTGGGCTAGGCGGATTGGATCTGTTCGCCGATCAATCGGTGATCGGTTTGACCACGAGCAAAACCGGTTGGTCCACCCGATCGCGTCAGCTCACGGCCAGTTTAAACGCACCATGGCAACGCCTTGTAGAATCAGCCACTAAGGAACTGGCTCCCATGGATCTAGCTATGGAAAACAAGATGAATGACCGCGATTTTATCCAACCGGCAGTGTGTGTTGGCACACCATTGAATCCACAGGGGTCTTCATTCCCTCGCAGACTGGTAAAGTTATTTGATTTTGTTTTTTTTAATTTAACGGTTGATCTGTAACGAGAATGGTAAGCTAGCATACCCCGAAGTGTTTTACAAATCTAAACTTATACTCGTGTGTTTCACTCACTGTGTTACGTTGCTTCTGTGCTTCGACTGATTTATACGGTAAGATATAATGTGAAAATTCTCGAGGGTTTTAATATGGTCCATATCCTGTTGAATAGCAAGTCTGCTTCTTCATCCTGTATGTATTTCACACACGTCTGAGACCAGACTGTGTCAAACAGATCGCGGTAGAGTGAAATGTATAAATAGAAAAACGTTCCATGATTTGTTTGTGGGCGGAATACTGTCAGGTTACCCAGATCAAGGCAGGCGAATTTTCTTGATTGCTTCACAACCGGAGTCTTCAGCTGGTTCTACAGAATTAGGTTCATCGATTTTTCTAAATCGAACCTGTGAACTTGTGAAACCGATTTTCACAGTTTAAAAATATACTTTGATTCTCCCTGAGGCTGAACCTGTGGCTACCAACCGGATAAGCGATTGTGTCCATATTTTGGTCCACATGTCCTTTTGATCGTATTTAGGTTGACTGATTCTATTCATTCACAAACAGAACGGTTCTGGATGTTATTTATTTGGGTGTTCAGTCTTTTGAGGATTCAATAGTTCTCCACATGTGGAATGGAAACTGTGTGTGTGTGTGAAGCCGCTCAAGG